TGTACCAAAGCAGTGAAATAAAATTCTAATTACACAATACTTAAAGCTGTGGAAAAATAATTGTCCCATCTTTGTATATCCATTCATAAAAAAAATCTCTTACCTTGAATTTTGCATGTTTCTTAAATGATTCCAGAATTTTCATTCACTGTTTGAAGATTCTAAAGTTATCGTTTTGAACCTGTCTCCTGTTCCCACTCTTTAATTCAAAGTAGTATTCCATAATTAACGTATTTGCTCTATTAGTTATCTTGCAAACCTCTGTAAGGTCACCTCCAATACCTCTGTTACAGTCAGAGAAGCCTCCAGTTTCTCAGATCTTTACTCAAATCTCTGATGCAAGGATCAGCATCATAGCTCTTTTAGGCACAGTGCCACTGTTTGAAGATCTCATTTATTTCTTAACAATCACTTAACAATCTTAACTGAGTGTAGTAGGGTGCACAGTTTGATCCAATGACACTCTGTGTAAGCTTCAGGAACTGTATCTCATCTTTCAGTTTGGTACTTTGCAGACTTCCAGACTCAACACTGAATTCAGCAATTTTGGATGGTCAAATCTGTCCTGAATTTTGTTTCCTTTCTTACATTTGCTTCATTTTTTTTTGCTGTCATACAGTAGCATATCTGCTCTAAGCACTTCCTTTTTTTTGTTTCTTTCTTGCCCCATGGCCATGGAGGGTGAGCTAATGTCATTCAGTCTCTCCTGTTTCCCACATTATATATCCAACTTTCCTTTTGGCCCCGCTCCTCAGGTCCTTTGTTCAACACCTATTGCATCTCCTCAGTTTTGATGAAAGGTCACAAATCTGAAATATTAACTTGTTTTACTCTCCACATATGCTCCTTAACATGCTGAGTTTTTCCTGAATTTTCTGGTTTCCTCTGATTTATAGTGTTTAAGACATCTAGTTCAATGTTCTATCAGCATTGGTGATTGCAATGCATAATCTGAAATATTGAGCCAAGTAAGACTTTGTTTCATTTAATTTCCATTCTCAGTCGTGGAGTACTTGTTTCACCTAGTTTGTCTTACAATATTTTAACCTTGTCTGCATCAAATTTCATCTGTTGCTTGGCCCACTCATTTTGTTTTGCTGATCCTGTAGTTTCACAGCTGGCACTTTAATTCCACTCTACTTCCTAATTTGATATTGTGGCCAATCAGACTATTTTCCATTGAGTAACTGAGCCTCCTTCCCCCAGCACACTCACGTTAGCTTAGTTGCCTAATGAGGTATGACATTAAACTAACATTGGGTTTTAATGATGGGAAGCTTGTTGTGCCCTAGATTTTTAAGTAAGTCGGAAGTTTTACTAACAGCAACAACCTAGAGACTTTAACATCATTAACTGTCTCACATTATTTCAGAGAATTTAAGGTTGTAAATGGTGCTTTGCTAGCTTTGATTACTAGTGCATATGGGTGAAAATTTTGTCCTGTTAATGTGTAATTAAAGGTTGAAATGAAACTTGAATTGTGCCAAGTGCAGCGTGGCTCTGCTTTTGGAATTGCAGCAACTTTAGTTGTCTTGGATTTCTGCCCTGTTCTGATTCATTCCAGATGGGTTTTTGGACTTCTTGCAACCTTGGGATTCATGGACAGAAATTCATTTATAGTTATGCCAGATTTTTTTTGCAGCAGTTCTGACAGTATTGCAGATCAACAAAGGGAGTAATTTATTTCACTACAGGACTTTGCCATGCAATAATTAAAATGATTCTAATCAAAGCCACTTAATATTCAAGGTAAATCTGCGACATTTTTGTTTGATTTTCAAGGCCCCATATCTACAAATGATGCACAGCCTTCTCAAATCTAACAACATTTGTACATTATGGCGAGTCCAAATCTCTGCTTTGAGGATTGCATTTCGCTGAGCAACAACGATGCCTTTTTGTAATGACACATCAGCTTCATTCAGAAATGCATATTGCTGCGCTGCACATTGAGGCTAACATCTGTCACATTGAAAACATGATGTCATAACACTGAGCCTGTCACTTGGATATTTCCATATTTAAACAATGAACCTGAAATGATTATAAGATGGAATATATGTTTAAACTTGTGAAGCGTTTTGTTTTTAGTTGACTAGGTGATTTTGAAAATATTGGCTTGTGGTAAATAATTCATTCAGGTTACCATTAATTTCCATTCATGGACTGTTATATTTGTTATTAATTTGATAAAACATCAGCTGTTGACTTATTCCTTTGAAGTTTATCAAAGTAACACAGTTGCAATTTGAAAAGTTTGGACTAAATATAACGGAGTCAACTGTTCTATTACAAAAATCCATCTTGTCTGTAATGTTAATACTATACCCAAAATGTACTGAATGCTGCCATGCATTAAATGATTTGTTAAAAATTGAACTTAATTCTGAAGACAATCAGAATCTTTAAATCTCTGCCTGCCATCAAGATATAGGCATTAATCAATTGTGACAAATCCATCAGGTATATAATCTTTTAATTGTTCACGAGAATGCACTTCCCTGGCAATTATTGCCCACCTTAAATTGCACCGGAAAGCATAAGCTATTTGTTGGAACTTCCTAAAGTTCAAGATTGGGGTTTTAAAACCAGCATTGAAAGGAATAGACACATTAGAACATAGAATATAGAACAGAACAGTACAGCACAGTACGCCCACGATGTTGTGCTGAACTTTTACCCTAAACCTAAGGTCTATCTAACCTCCACCCCTACCTTATACTATCATCCATATGCCTATCTCATAGCCACTTAAATGCCCCTAATGAGGCCGACTCCACTACCCTCTCCGGCAATGCATTCCACGTCCCGACCACTCTCTGAGTAAAGAACCTACCTCTAACATCTCCCCTATATCTACCTCCGCTCACTTTAAAACTATGCCCCCTCGTAATAGCTACCTCCACCCTAGGAAAAAGTCTCTGGCTGTCCATTCTATATACACCTCTGATCATTTTGTACACCTCTATCAAGTCACCTCTCATCCTTCGTCGTTCTAAAGAGAAAAGCCCTAGCTCTCTCAACCTTTCCTTGTAAGACTTTCCCTCCATTCCAGGCAACATCCTGGTAAATCTCCTCTGCACCTTTTCCAACGCTTCCACATCTTTCCTGTAATGAGGCGACCAGAACTGGACACAATACTCCAGATGTGGCCAAACTAGGCTTTTGTATAGCTGGAGCATAACTTCACGGCTCTTGAACTCAATCCGTCTATTAATGAAAGCTAATGCACCATACGCTGGCTTAACAACGCTATCCACCTGGGTGGCAGCTTTCAGGGAACTGTGAACATGAACCCCGAGATCCTTCTGCTCCTCCACACTGCCAAGAATCTTTCCGTTAACCCTGTATTCTGCTTTCAAGTTTGTCCTTCCAAAATGAATCACCTCACACTTTTCAGGGTTAAACTCCATCTGCCACTTCTCAGCCCAGCTCTGCATCCTATCTATGTCCCTTTGTAACCTAGAACAGCCCTCCGCAGTATTCACTACGCGACCCACCTTCATATCGTCAGCAAACTTACTAATCTACCCTTCCACTCCTTCATCCAAATCATTTACAAAAATCACAAATAGAAGAGGACCCAGGACAGATCCTTGTGGTACACCACTCGTAACTGAGCACCATGTTGAATATTTTCCGTTCACTACCACCCTTTGACTTCTAAGGGTCAGCCAATTCTGAATCCAATCTGCCACATTTCCCCCTATCCCATGCCTCCTTACCTTCTGCATGAGCCTACCATGGGGAACCTTATCAAACGCCTTACTTAAATCCAGCCATCCTTACCACATCCACTGCTCTACCTTCATCCACGTGTTTGATCACCTCTTCAAAGAATTATTTCACCCTGTCACGCCCCCTCTGCTATTAAATTCCTGATCAACACTATAGCACTTCAAAATTGATGTCCAAAATTCTTTACCCTTATCTCCCCACTGCTGCCATCCACAAGAATATCAAGCCTGTGTACTTGTACTGAGACCTGCATTCCTGTCGTTCCATTTTCATTGACTTTCAATGTCTCAAAGTCAACAGGAGGATTTATTTTCTGGATGTGGAGGTGCAGGTGTTGGACTGGGGTGGGCAAAATCAGAAGTCACACAAAACCAGGTTATAACCAACAGATTTATTTGAAATCACAAGCTTTCAGAGTGATGCTCCTTCATCAGGTGATTTCAAACCTGATGAAGGAGCAGTGCTGTGAAAGCTTGTGATTTCAACTAAACTTGTTGGACAATAACTTGGTGTCATGTGACTTCTGAGTGTTTTATTTGGCCCTCACATCACATCATGGCTTCAACCTTTGCAGTCATCTCCAACCCTCTGGCCTCATTTGTAATTTCTAAACCTCCAACATCTCTGTCATTCCACTTTCTGTCTTAATTTCAAACTTTTTCTCAAGAACTTTCTTTTAGATCATGTTCTTTATCCATTTTTTGCTGCTTTATTACCTGTCCATGCATAGTTACCCAACTGTAAAATATTGAGATAATTCTGTTCAATAATGAGTATTCTTGTTAACGTAGGATTAAAGTAGCATCTGTCTGTAATTAACTACTGGAGTGACATCTTTGTAGGGTAGGTCTGCATTATGTAATAAATCTCGAGATTTTTGTTTCAGAAAAAATGTTCATTTGATATGTAAACTAAAACCTAACCACTTATAGAATGCCAGTCAAAATCCTGCATCCCAGTATGTTTCACTGGAATCCTAATGATATTACTTATATCAACATTGCATTTTTTCGTTTTGCAGCATACACCATGTTTTATGTAACACTGAGGTATTTGATTAGCAATATTTACACCTTGTTATATGGGGAAAAGTCATGAAATCCAAATTTATCAAAGACCATTAAGCCAATGGAAGTGCAATAAGGCCATCATTAAAGCTAGCCAAGCTAAATTAATATGGTCCATATTTGCTGTTTTTTTAATAAAAAATCTTTTTTCTGCCCAATTAATACAGCAATGATCATTTTGTTATTTTTAAACAGGGAGTATAATTCGCTGTATGAGACGATTGGAAGAACTTCTTCGGCAGATGTGTCAAGCAGCAAAGGCCATAGGAAACACAGAACTGGAAAATAAATTTGCAGAAGGTTTGTATTTAAGTCATTATTACTATTGGGAGGGTTGTATTGCCAAGTTTTAAAAAAGTTCTTTTTGTTCTGCAATCATATATTGCAGTAATGTCATTCCCAGCTTAACATATTCACGGTTGATTATTTACCTTTTCCATAAAAGTAGTGATTGTTCAAAGGAAACATTATTCTCTCCCTGGAGGTTCAGTTCATTGACATGACTTAAGCTATAGGTTTTGGCAGATCAAAACAACCGATGCCAGGGAAATTCCATCCAAAGTAAATGTAATGGGATTTAGTGACTATTACAATAGGGAACAAAAATTCAGATAGCTTTGGAAAAATGTCAAAAGATATCTCAACTATTAGCAGTCATTGCCAACCCCTAAGGAGCAGAGGACTGAGAAGAGACACATAAACTTGAGAAAGGGGAACCCAAGATATTGGCTTCCATTTGACTGGAAAAACGAAGCCCTTTACCTAACTACTGAAGTCAGAGGTCACACGATACCAGATCATTGTCAGACACGTTTATTTGTGATCACAAGCTTTCGGAGCATAGCCCCTTTTTCAGGTGACATGAGAGAGAAGCACGCAGGCACAGAATTGTGATTGATGTGTCAGATAATAAGTCTCTGCAGGTGATCAGAAGTGTCTGATGGTGTGAGTAAAGCGTCAACAGCTGAATAATAAGTGAAGGGATGACCAAAAATCCGATTAAGTGAGGCAGGGAGATAATTACAAAAAATTAAAAATAAGGTGGTGCTGGAGACAAACCAAATGACTGGAATAACAAGAAAGAGATAAGTCGCACGCCAAGGGTCTAACCAAAGTAATAAGTAATTCAAAACTGTACAAACTAATTAAGGTAGAGAGATCATAACAATTAATCATGGTGATGGTGTCAAAACAGGACAGTAAGGAAGATTTTATAGATACAGTTGGGTCACATATGGTGCGACATGAACCCAAGATCACGGTTGAGGCCGTCTTCATGGGTATGGAACTTGGCTGTTAGTCTCTGTTCAGTGACTTTGTGTTGTTGTGTATCTCGAAGGCCTCCTTGGACAGCGTTTACCCAAAGATCGGAGGCTGAATGTCCTTGACCGCTGAAGTGTTCCCCGACTGGGAGGGAACATTCCTGTTTGGTGATTGTTGCGCGGTGTCCATTCATCCATTGTAGCATCTCCATGATCTTGCCAATATACCATGTCTCAGGGCATCCTTGCCTGCAGCCAACATATGAGATAGACAACATTGACTACGTCACATGAGTATCTGCTGTGTACGTGGTGGGTAGTGTTACCATGTGTGATAGTAGTATCCATGTCAATGATCTGACATGTCTTGCAGAGGATGTAATTGTCTCTCTGTCTCATTTAATTGGATTATAAGTCATCCCTTCACTTGTTATTCAACTTTTGACACTTTACTTGCCCTGTCTAACACTTTTGACCACCTGCAGAGGCTTATTATTCAACATTCCACTTGCACCATTTGTATGATCTTTTGATCTCTCTGCCTATAAATTCTGTGGCTGTGTGCTTCTCTGACTTCAACTGATGAAGGGGCTACACTCCGAAAACTTGTGATTTCAAATAAACCTGTTGGACTATGACCTGGTGTCATGCGACTTCTGACTTTGTCCACCCCAGTCCAACACCGGCACCTCCACATCCTAATTCCTGAAATGTGAAGTGATGAGGAACAGCTCTTTCACCTCCACAAATGAACAATGCAGTACCATATGTGGCTGATCACAACTGTAACTAGGTGGGCCAGCTTTCATAGCGTACGTGCTTACTTGGCTTAAAACAGACAACGGTGCATGGTAGTTGACAAATTGGAATACCAGGCCATGCACTAAAAATGGCAACGGTCATAATAATTTTAATTCATCGAGTCATTTAACTGCATTATGTTTCATAAATAAAGCTTTGTGATGAAACTGTCAACAGGACTTCTTTGAAGAACTTACTTGGATAATTTCCTAGACTTGCTTCAACAATGACCTTACCTCAATTGGAAGGTCAGAATTGGGCAATATTTGCTGATGATTGCACAGTGTTCAACACCATTGGTGACTCTTCAGATGCTAACTTGACCCATATCTGTATGCAGCAAGGCATGAAGAGCATCTAGTCTTGGTCTGATAAGTAACATTTGTGCCACAAATTCCAGACAATGACCCTTCCAACTAATAATCTAATCATCAGCCCTTGATGTTCAAAGGCACTACCATTGAATCCCCCATATCCTAGGGGTTACGAGTCATCAGAAACAGAACTGGACCGATTATCTAAATACTGTAGTTACAAGAGCAGATTGGAGGCTGGGAAGTCTGTGACAAATAACAGGTGCAGTGCAGAAACTTGACGCCCATTCAGAAAAACTTGGTAGATTTGGCACCACATTTGCCACCTTCAGCATTCACTCCTTTCGTCATTACATTCAGTGGCTGTATGTACCAAGATGCACTGCCATAAATTCACCAAGCTCCTTACACAAAACCATCCAAATCTTCCAGTTCTACTATCTTGAAAAATGGAGCAACATGGGAGCACCATCACTACAAGCTCCCGTCCAAGTCTCATGCCATTCAAACTTGGAGCTTCATGTTTCTTCATTGTCGCTGAGTCAAAATCCTGAAACTCTTTTCCTAACAGTATTGAATGTGTACTTATGCTCCAAAGACTGCTCCAATTCAAGGCAACTCAAGACCACCACCTCAGGGCAATTAGATTTGGGAAATAAATGTCAGGAAAACCAGTGCTGCTGATGTCACGTGAATGCATACAAAAGATTTATCACTACTTGTGCTGAAAATTTGCACTTATTTACAGACCATTATATTGCGTTTGACAATTATTACCAAAAAGAAGTTAAGCATTCGAGGTATTCTCAGTTTGTGCAGGGCTAAATGATCTTTGCATTCAGAACACATTTGATTTTGTCAGAATCCTTGAGTTAAAGATAAAATACACCAGTGATCTTCTTCCTGGTCTCCTCCAAGAGATGAATTGCATGATAGTCTGTGCTTTATCTGACAAAAATGTGACATTGTCAGTATTCATGGATTCATGACCAAGTACAAGTTAGGACTAGGGAAGAAAATAATAACATTCAGAAATGAAGGAGAAGAGTTAGTTGCCAGTTCTGAGTTAAGACAAAAAATAAGGAGCTCCATTACATTGATTTTTTTTCTATGCTTGAACTTCCAAATTCTCACCATGAATTAATACAATTTTAGGACCAACTACATCTTTACCTGTTGGTAGGCATCAGCAGCAAAGCATAAGTGTGAATGCAGAAAGGCAACTGCTGAAAACTCGGATATTCTGGTTGAACCATAAGAATTTTTCTTTAATACAGGATTATCTTTTATTTTCAGGCATTACCAAGATCAAAAGAGATATTGTGTTTGCTGCAAGTCTTTACTTGTAATTTTGAATAAGTAGCAGAAGTACTATCGACTTTCAGGTTGAAATCAAAAAACATTTGTCAAATGTCCAGCAGCATTGAGGTACATGATTTTTATGGAGAGATGTCTCTGGTTAAGGAATAAATAGACAACGAATGAGGATTGGCAGACTGTATATTTTTTTATTTTCCACTGCTTTTGTGTGTAGTTGAACTCAAGCACCATCAAAGCAAGCTTCAACAGCTGAAACTGTACATAACTGTTATTTTAATAAACATTTTACATTTTGCACTAATCTGACTGCTTCACATCATTTTAGTGTTAACAGTTTAAGGTAGAAATAAAAAAACGAAATTATAAACAAAATTTAATTGTATACAAGAATATTTAATATATACAAAGTGGATTCCAAGGGTATAGCAGCAGATGCTTATCCATAAAGATGGTTATCAACTTGAGTAGGTGTGCATCATGAAATTCTGTTCTGATAGTTACATTGTCAGACAGATTTACATTCACTGATGCCCAGGATGATCTTTTATTGTTGATGATTCCTGCCACAGTGGTTTCCATGTGTTTCATGAAGAGTTGAATGTGAATTTTCCTCATCTGAAGATGAAATTCTAACCACTCTATCTTTGAAAAAGTCTGATACAAACACCACCTGATTTAAAAAGAAAAGATGCATTAGAATAGTATTTGAATTTAGAGTGGCTGTGATCAAATTGTCTTTCTATTCTCTGCATGTTATTCAAACAAGCAGGTTATTAATGAAATCTGAGAATACATCTGGGCAGAAGCAAGTAACATAGGTCTGAAAACCTTTTTTGGAAGAAAAACCAAATGGCACCAAGGTTGTTTCTAGAAAAGCACATGGAAAATTGAAATATTTTAAGTAGCAATATTGGCAATACATTACGTTCGGTTTTAATTGGTCTGAGTTTGTTTCACACCACAGGATTAGTAAACACGGTGATTCATCCTCCATTGTTCTGGTCAGTTGTACAATGTTGTCAGAGCACATTTAACATGGTTTTTCTTCCCAAACCTATGCTTGGTTTTAAGGTGCCAGCAAGATATGAGGTCAGTTTGTTCATGTACACTGATATCACCTGGTTCCCTCACAATTTATCAATCCTCTGCTGATTGTTTGACTTTCCATCTTGGATCGACGACAGTTTTCTACAGTTTATTATAAGGTAGACTAAAACCACACTGAAATTTGCAGTCAGCATTGAGCAAATGTAACCAACCATTTATTTTGTGTCATTTTGCGTTCAAACTTGCTGAAATTAGTAAAATGGATTACAAGTCATTCAGTTTAGGCATCCAGGCATCCAGCCCTGCCAGCACCATCCCACCTATTTGATTTTATCCTATCCTGTACTGAGGAAAAAACAACAAATTCTAATTAATCAGATTAAAGTGTTCATTCTCAGCAGAGTCTGAGGCAAATGTAGTTTAAAATACTCAATTTGGTGTGAAATCATTTATAGCAAGCAAAATAAGGGAAAGCAAGGTGAAATTAAGGGACAAAAATAACATTTTTGAAATATCTACATTCCAACTTCTTAAAGAAAGACTGCGTTTGTACAAGTTGATTTTCAGTCTCCAGTTGCTTGGGAATAATCAAAATTTATTGTGTACAAAACAAAATCGCTTACATTAGAATAAAAGGAATATTTTTTCCCTGGCAAGGATAGCAAGTATCTATTATGTTTGAGGAAGGATCACCAGACTCAAAATGTTAACTTGGATTTCTCTTTGCACATGTTGCCAGACCTTCTGAGTTTTTCCAGCAACTTCTGTTTCTGTATCTATTATGTTTCATGTATTGACTGTTGAAGGTTCAGGACATCTCAGACAGCAACTTCCTGGGCTTTGTGTTTAACTGGAAATTGCTGTTTGATTTAGATTTTTAACAGTGAGTACTGTTAGACTGTTAACAGTAACATAGGCAGAATATGAGAACAGAATAATAACTAACATAAAAGGGATCTCAGAATATTTACCAGCATGTAAACAGGCCCCAACCTACTTCTTACTACCCACTTACTATTAGGAGCAAAGTGCCAGAGGGGTAGGACAATGTGAAAACATTTAAAGGTTCTAATCTTTAGGTCTACAGTTTATCGGAGATGGGATGGACAGTGAGAAGTACATCAGGCGGCCTCCACACGGATCTGTGTGTGAATTGCCTGGGAAGTTTAAACTTCCAATGGGCACTTTTCCTGCTCCCAAGACTCAACTTTAGCTGACTAACCTGGATAAATATCTAAGGCATGTTGGACAGATTCAAGTCAAAATGCTGGAGAAACTCTATCTCTGGCATCATATGTGGAGATACTGGGAAATGGTAACGTGGTGGTGATATCGCTGGACTGGTTCACCCAGACACACCTCCCTGGGAGTGGACTCAAATCCCTCCACAGTAGCTGGTGGAGTTTCAATTTGGAATTGAAAGCTAATCTTAGTGATGGAAACCATGAAACTATCATTGATTGTCATAAAAGAAAATCTGGTTCATTAATGGCCTTCAGGGAAGAAAATCTGCTGCCCTCATTCAGTTTGCTCAACATGTGACTTCAGGCTGAAGAAGCCACTCACTTCATAAGTATTATTAGAAACAAGTGATTAATGCAGTCTTGTCAGCAATGCACTCAGCCTATGAAAGAACAAACGAAGAATAAAAGTAAGTCCAATATGACTCTTTGAAACCGAAGGTGCCTGGAAAAGTGATATAGGCTGGAAAGTGCCTTAGTGGAAATTGAGGTGCAGTTCTACCTGCATGCATGGGGTTTTGCAGGAACACAGAAATATTTGCATCAGAGCAATGTGATGTATTGAAATGGCAAGTGACCAGAAGGTCAGGATTTTTCCATTGAATCCTTGCAGTGCGGAAAAGGGCCATTCAGCCCAACAAGTCCACTGAAGTTCTGAGGAGCATCCCACCCAGAATCATTCCTCTACCCTATTCCCACAATCCCCCTGCCAAAGCCACCCAATCTACACACTATGGGGCAATTTAGCATAGCCAATCCACATAACCTGCACGTCTTTGGACTGTGGGAGGAAAGCCGAGCACCCAGAGGAAACCCACACAGAGAATGTGCAAACTCCACAGACCGTCACGCGAGGTTGGGATTGAACCTAGGTCCCTGGCACTGTGAGACAGCAGTGCTAACCACAGAGCCACTGTGCTGCCATCTTCCTTGTAAGCAGAACATAGTGTTCCACAAGGCAGTCACCCAGTCTGCATTTGATCTTGTGAATCTAGAAGAGGCTGTGTTGTGAACAATAAAGATAGTAGATTAGATTGAAAGTACATCACTGCTTCACCTGGAGATGGTTCAGGAAAGCTTTACTAGGGTGTTGCCAGGACTGGAGGGTTTGCGTGAGAAGGAGAGGCTGGGACTTTTTTCACTGCAGTGTAGAAGGTTGAGGGGTGACCTTCTAGAGGTTTCTAAAATCATGAGGGACATAGGTAAGATGAATAGCAAAAGTCTTTTCCCGAGAATGAGAGAGTTCAAAACTAGAGGACATATTTTTAAGGCGAGAGGAGAAAGATTTCAAAGGAGCTGAGGGTCAACGTTTACACAGAGGGTGGAACATGTATGGAATAAGCTGCCAGAGGAAGTGGTAAACGAAGGTACAGTTACAACATTTAAAAGACATTTGGACAGATACATGAATAGGAAAGGGTTAGAGGGATATGGGCCAAACGCAGGCAAATGGGACTAGTTTGATTTGGGGAACTTGATCGGCATGGATGAGTTGGACCGAAGGGTCTGTTTCTGTGCTGTATGACTCTGTGACTAGTTTCTGGACTTGGAAGTGAGGAAGGAGATGGTAAAGGTGTGAATGTTGCACTTCTTGCAATTGCATAGGAAGGTCCATAGCATTTTCCACTTGAGCACTTTATGGCTTTCAGGATTCAATATTGAGTTCAACAACTTCAGACCGTGAACTCTGTCTTCCATTTTAACTACTCTCCCCATACCCATTATTCTGTATGCCTGGGTTTGATCTCAGCAGAATTCACCAATTTTCTGCTATGAACGCCTACCATTAATACCAACTACTCTTCATCTATATCTAGCACCATTTGGACTCTTCTGTTTTGTTCTAGGACACGTTTTCCATCTTTAGTAGTCCTCCTTTCTGTCGGTGTCTGATCCTGACAGAATCAAATATGATCATGTTGAATGGTGGAATGGACTCAATGGGACAAAGTGTTCCTATTTTCTCCGTTTCTGCTTTTATTTCAGATCTTCGCCATCTGCAGTAATTTACTTTTATTAAAACCTGGTACATAACTGGATAACTCCACAACCCCTGGACCTCATGACTACTCCCCGATCACTCAACCTGCCCCCAACTAGCCACCCATCCCTGGCCTTAACTGCTCACCCACGTGCACCTAACCATTCATCCATTTACTTATTCATGCACCTGCAGTCACTAAACCACATTTAAGAACTGGATCTTTGAATTTACCAGCCATAATACGGCAGCTGGTGCCATGAAAAAGGAGTGTGTCCAGTTTTCTGTGACTCTATGCTACATCAGCATCTGGTTGGAAGAACTCTGCGTGCAGTAGCTGCTGCTCAGGGTATTTCAGCACGAGTATTTTGTATCAGCATGTAACAAGGAAAAGGATGCTGGCAAAATCCAGTTGGTAATGAATGGGGCAGAAACTGATGGGATGTACTGGAAAGAGGAGATAGGTACCTGGTTCAAATAACTTACTTAACAGACGATGTTGTTAGGGGATACTGGAGAGATGGTAGAGGATTGCAAAGTAGCAAATGTAACACAATTATTCAATAAAGTGTGCAAGACAATCCTGATAACTATAGCCTGGTCGGTTCAATATGAGCGGTGACAATGCTTTAAAAGTAATAATTGAAAAAACAATCCATTGACAGTTGGAAGTGGTTTCAATTGACAGCAAGCATGAATTTTTAGGATGTAAATCATGTTTGAATAATTTACTTTTTTTTAATATAAAGTGGAATAAGTTGATGAGGAAAATGCTGAGAATGTGTGTGAATTTTATATAAATGTCTGAGTAGCATATACTCTGAGATTCAAAAGGATCTGAATGTCGTGCGTGAATCATAGTCATACAGCACGGCAACAGACCCTTCGGTCTAACCAGTCCATGCTGAACATAATCCCAAAATAACTAACACACCTGCCTGCTCGTGGTCCATATCCCTCCAAACCTTTCCTCTTCATATATCCATCCAAATGTCTTTTAAATGTTGTAATTGTACCTGCATCCACCACTTCATCTGGAAGTTCATTCCACACGCGAACCACCCTCTGTAAAAAAATTTGCCTCATGTCTTTTTAAATCTTTCTCCTCTCACCTTAAAATTGTGCCCCCTAGTCTTGAAATTCCCCATCTTAGGAAAAAGACAACTACCATCAACTCTATCTATACATCTCATCATTTTATAAACTTCTATCGGGTCACCGCTCAACCTCCTATGCTCCAGTGATAAAAGTTCCAGCCTTTCCTCATAACTCAAACCTTCCATACCTGGCAACACTCTGGTAAATCTCTTCTGAACCCTAATCACAAAACATTAGATCTAAGTACTGCAATTAATTAGTACAAAAGTGGGGAGGTTATACTGAACTGTTTTAAACATTTTGTTGGGCTTCAACTTCAGTTTACATCCATTTCTGGTCACCATACTACAGGAGTGACCCAAGGAAAGGAATTTAGCTACAAGTTTAGATTAGAGAAGTTGGATGTGTCAATAAGGAGCTGGAGAAACACAGCAGGTCAGGCAGCATCAGAGGAGTAGGAGACGATGTTTCGGGCTACACCTTTCATCAGTTGGATGTGTTCTCTTTGAAGCAAAAGCATTACAGGATTGAAGTAGGTTTAGATAAAGTAGACAAGCTATTCCAATGAGCTGATGATACCAGAATTAGGGGACACAGATTGGTGAGAGATGCAAGAAGCATATAAAGAAGTCATCTTTTACACCATGAAAGGCAGAGGCCTGAAACTCACGGCTAATAAGGATGCTGACAGAACAGACAACTGATGATTTTGAAAGGAAGTTAGATGGCACTTAAAGAAAACAAATTTGCAAGGTTATGGGAATAGGTAATAAGATTCTCTGCAGAAATCCATCAAGGACTTGTTAGTCCAAATGGCTGTGTCAGAGGGTTGCATAGACTGGTTATTAAATATATTCAACACTGAGATAGATTTTTAATCAATAAAAGAAGCAGGATTTATGTGAAAAGGCAGGAAAGCAGAGATGAGGATTATCAGATTAGCCATCATCTGAGTGGTGGAGCAGACTGAATGGGCTGAATGGTCTACTTCTGCTCCTACATCTTATGATCTTCTGGTCCTGTGTCATAACAACTGTGACTCTAAAGTCAGGTCCATTTCCTTGATGTCTGCCACCAACTGTAAACCCTAGGTTATGTTGAATTTAGGCAGCTCTTTCCGCTTAACACTGAATTTCCAACAAACACAACAATTAAGTTGATCATACAACCCATCAAGCCTGGTCTGCCATTTAATATGATTATGACTGGTCCCCAGCCTCAATTTCAATTTCCTGCTACACCCCTATCACATGGTCCCATGAGCTCCTAAAATCTATCTATCCGAACTTTTAATGTAGTCAACATTGGTGCATCACAATCTTCTGGGATAGAAACTCCCAATATTCAAAATCCTTTGAGTAAAGAGATTTCTCTTCATCCCAGACCCAATGATCAGCGCTTTATCCTGAAACTGTGCCTCTTCATTCAAGATTGTCCAGTGTCCCGCAATCTCACTGACCCCATCAAAATCTTCTCTTCCAATGTGATCACCTTGAAGGCCTTTTAAAGTACTCCAGGTAAAGTTGCACCAAAACCTGTACAATTATGGCAAGAGTTCCCCATTCTTGTACTCCAACCTTTTGTATTAGAGACCAACACAGCATTTGCCTTCCTGCAATCATGTGAGTTGTGACTTGGCTACAAGTTGCTGTCAAACTGGATTTTATCTTGGTCATTCTCATAAGTCCTCATCATGACTGAAAACTGTTTCATTTCAAGACGTTGTCAAATATAAGTCAGTCAATACTAAAACAGGGATTAAATGATTTGTATGTTTTTTCAGTTCTCATTGATAATCATGTCTGTTCATTTATATTGTATATTTCCCAGATGACTCACAAAAGGGCTCAGTCACAATTTGAGATAACAAGGTGTACAGCTGGATGAACACAGCAGGTCAGGCAGCATCAGAGGAGCAGGAAAGCTGCTGTTTAGGGTCTGGACCCTTCTTCAGAAATGGGGGAGGGGAAGGGGACTCTGAAATAAATAGAGTGGGGGGGAAGCGGATGGAAGGTGGATAAAGGAGCAGATAGGTGGAGAGGAGACGGACAGGTCAGTCACAATTTGGATGTTCAATTTTATTTGCTTATTTTGAACCGTTCCTGTTTTGAATCTCCACCTGCATTGAAAGAATTCAAGGCAATGATTCATTAGGAGAACACCTGAGATGAAGGGATGCTATTGTGAGAAACATCTGGTGATGAGTTAAAGGAATAATTTGATTGAGATACTTGAAATAATTTAGAGTTTGCAACATGGTTCAGGAAATATTCTTCTCAGTCAGTATGTAGACTTAACGAGACTTGAGTATAAATTTTGAATTAAACTGGAATCCCAGGAGAAAATAACTCTTCACAAAAACGGTGGTGTGCTTGCAGAACATGCAGGGCCTCACCAAGTTCACTTGAGATGTTTCATCGGGATAGGCAAATATATTAAAGGTTATTTCGAATAGCCAAAAGAAATTACAATGCAGATAAGGTCATTTGGCCTCTTCAATTCATGTGGGAAGTCTGTCATCCAAGTCCCATTGATTTGTTCCAACCTCATAATTCTACAAATTACTTCCCTCAAATGCTTATCCTTGATGGGGAAATAAACTGGAGCTGTCTTGGCAAACAAAAATGTTACATATGGTCAAAAGAATGTCCTTGTCTTTTGTTTCTATTTATACTTGTGTGTAAGTTGTAGCATTTCAATAAATTATTGAATGTAAGCCAATTATATTTTGCTTAAGCAAAGCAGTAAATAATTATGTATCAGCTTTGTGAATACCTTATAATGATCACTTGTTCTTTGTCATTGAATTTAATACTTACAAATGCATGTCGTAAATTTTGCAAGATAAAAATTCTAAGTTACCTATTCCATGAATGGGAATTCTATAACTAAAAGAAAAATCACTAGCTCCACAATAATTCCAATAAAAGATTATTGACCTGAAATGTTAACGTTGTTTCTTTGTCCATAGATTCCATCCGACCTGCCAAGTATTTCCAGCATTTTCTGTTTTTATCTCAGCTTTCCCTGTTTCTGCAGTATTTTACTTCAGCAGTAAACAATGACAAAGCAGTAAGTGAAGAATTTATTTCTACTTACAACTAAGATGGCGACAATAGCTCCCTCAATTAAGCCAGTCAGTACATCACTCCAGTGGTGTTTGTAATCGGACACACGTGAGAGGCCCACATAAACTGCACAAGCAATTAAGCCAAATTGAAGTGTCGGACGTAGCAGTCTGGACCAATCGCCCACCATTCGTGCCTGAAGATAAAACTGATGAGAAATGCAATTTCATGTTAAAGCTATTGATGTATTTTTTTGGATTCTTAACAGTATGAAATTGTGTATTCTTTGGACAAAAGAAACATTCTTTCTTTCAGTAAAAAGAACAACTGTTCACTTAAATGATCTTTCCAGAATTCCAATCAGTGAAGTGAAGCCGAGTTCAAAATTCTCCTCATGCATCTTAAGTCTGATTTTTTTGCTTTAAGCATTGCTGCTTTTTCCACGTCCCTCAAATGTCTTGTTCTCATCAGCAAATAATCTTTGGAAAGAAACCCTTTATTTTAAAGCGAAACCAAAGGTTATGTAAGATTAATTGCAAAATCATTGTGCAACTCAGTTGATCTTTCACTGAAGAATTAAACTTTAATGACTGATTTGTGAGTTCAGGATTATGGACATATTTAAGGCAAACGTGACAATACCATTGAGGGATCTTGTGAATCATGACAATCTCAACCATTATATAATTTATCCAATGGCACAGTCTAAGTTGTAACAGTTATTATTTGAGAGTGCTGAAGGTATTCCAAGAACAAGCTTCTTTATGATTTCAAGAGAAATTACATGTACATTTTCTATATATTTGTTTTTTTAGACCTGTACTACATAGGGTCCCTGAGATTTATGGAAGACATTGCCCATAAAATTAAAGACATTAACAAAAGTTTTTTTTCCCCAGTCATTCAACTGACTTGTCTTTTCTCTTTTCCCCCAACCATATATTTTTCCTGTTCTCTCCTGAAAGCCTATACTGTAGGGATTGATACCAGAAATTTTATTACACCTTGCTTATTCCACTTCCTCATGGATAGCAAGTTCTTTGGGTTGCAGGGATATTACAATCAAAACCAATTCCACTGTCCACTAATGGCCACACACATGCCCTTATCAGTACTTAGACTTTTCACCCAATTCAACACAAACTTGCCATTGAACTATGAGTTTTCCTGCCTCTGTTACAATTGAGACAGGACATCTACCCACCAAGCAATCAAAGAAACCTTTTCAGTCTTTCATGGTGAGTTTTCATTGAAGACACATTGATTACAATTACACTGGAAAACTGGAATGCAAATTCCTTGTATCTGACACCGACTGTAATGTAAACACAAGTTACTGTAGTTTTTCTTCAAAACTGCATCAATAAAATGTCTTTTTGTCCTAACTGAAAACCGAGCAGGAAAGTCAAGCAACTTCCTCCATTTACGTAGGTAATTGTAAAATGCTTCCTCTTAAATAAATACTATGATTCAGGAACTGGCAGCTCTTAAATGTGGTTGCTGAGCAAAATCACTTCCCATTATTAAGACAGAGGAATATCTCTCTATAAACTAAATGAAATTTCGAACTTTTAAAATAGAGTTTAGGTTTTTTTTTCAAATCACTGCTGCTTTATTAGTATTCATTATGTCTCTGAAGAAGGTATTTGCAACAAGTTTACACAAAGCTAAATTACAATTTTGAGGATGAGCTGCATTGAGAAGATTTCATGCCCTTGGATTTACCCCTCTTCCATTTTTAAAAAGGTTTTATTGTGTTTTGCGGTATGCAATGTAACATAGATCGCTTCCGTTTTTCAGATTATTCTCTGTTAGTTGTGGTTTTAGGAAAGTGAGTTGATCCATGGAATCATGCAGTAATGAAGAGGCCCTTTGGCCCATCAAGTCTGTACTGCCAAATTCACTACTGTCTACTCTAGTCTCATTTTCCCGCGCTAGGTCCCTCTCAAACAGATTGTTGGTACTTCTCAAGGGTCTGGATGTGATGTGTGTACATAATCAAAGTTCCAGGGCCATATACAAGAGTCAGAAGGATAACTGCCTTATACACGGTGGCCTTGGTATCAGATCATGTCATCTACATACTGAAGTTCCACAAGCAAGGTCAGGGTCATTTTTGTTCTGGATTTCAACCAATTGAGGTTGTAAAGTTTTCCGTCCATCCAGTGGACAATGTCCACACCACTGGAAAGCTTGTTTTTTGACAAGATGAAGATTGGTGGTAATGAAGGTGGTGAAAACACATGCCTGCTTGACCCCGAGACAACAAGGTGCAGGGCTGGATGAACACAGCAGGCCAAGCAGCATCATAGGAGCAGAGAGGCTGACGTTTCGGGCCTAGACCCTTCATCAGAAAAGGGGGAGGGGAAGGGGGTTTTGAAATAAATAGGGAGAGAGTGGGAGGCGGATAGAAGAGGGATAGAGGAGATGATAGGTGGAGAGGAAACAAACAGGTCGAAGAGGCGGGGATGGAGCCAGTAAAGGTGAGTGTAGGTAGGGAGTTAGGAAGGGGATAGGTCAGTCCAGGGAGGACGGACAGGTCAAGGGGGCGGGATGAGGTTGGTCGGTAGGAGATGGAGGTGCGGCTTGAGGTGGGAGGAAGAACAGGTTAGGGAGGCAGGGACGAGCTGGACTGGTTTTGGGATGCGGTAGGGGGAGGGGAGATTTTGAAACTTGTGAAATCCACATTGATACCATTGGGCTGCAGGGTTCCCAAGCGGAATATGAGTTGCTGTTCCTGCAACCTTCGGGTGGCATCGTTGTGGCACTGCAGGAGGCCCAGGATGGACATGTCGTCTGAGGAATGGGAGGGGGAGTTGAAATGGTTCGCGACTGGGAGGTGCAGTTGTTTATTGCGAACCGAGCGTAGGTGTTCTGCAAAGCGGTCCCCGAGTCTCCGCTTGGTTTCCCCGATGTAGAGGAAGCCACACCGGGTACAGCGGATGCAGTATACCACATTGGCAGATGTGCAGGTGAACATCTGCTTGATGTGGAAAGTCTTCTTGGGGCCTGGGATGGGGGTGAGGGAGGAGGTATGGGGGCAGGTGTAGCACTTCCTGCGGTTGCAGGGAAAAGTGCCGGGTGTGGTGGAGCTGGAGGGGAGTGTGGAGCGGACAAGGGAGTCACGGAGAGAGTTGTCCCTCCGGAAAGCAGATAAGGGTGGGGAGGGAAAGATGTCTTTGGTGGTGGGGTCGGATTGCAGATGGCGGAAGTGTCGGAGGATGATGCGTTGGATCCGGAGGTTGGTGGGGTGGTACGTGAGGACGAGGGGGATTCTTTTTTGGTTTTTATTGCGTGGACGGGGTGTGAGGGATGAGGTGCGGGAGATGTGGGAGACACGGTTGAGGGCGTTCTCGACCACCGAGGAGGGGAAGTTACGGTCCTTGAAAAACGAGGACATCTCTGATTGATAAAACATGCTTGGCTGAATGACTGAACAATTTTACTTCCACGGTGGTAGTGTGAGAACCTAAAAATAGTGCAAAGAATTGTGGATATGTAAATGAAATGGATCGCTACTACCTGTCGGAACTTCACAGCTATACAATGCAGCATTTTGTCAGTGACCCAGATAGTAGAAACCATTACAATTACAGTTACTAATGTTAATTAAACTCAAAAGTGTTTGTTAATGTAATTTGCTGTCTTCTATAAGTTTTGCAAATAAATGCATTCTTTATAGCTGTTGCCTTTCAGTAGCTTGACAAAGTGTTAATTCTTCATATGGGACTAGATTTGTTGATTGTGGAGGGTGTGAGAGCAATGGCCAACCTGTCCTTATTTGTCCTGCCATTTAATTTTACTTACACTGCAGTAAATTAACTGAGACAATCTCAGGAATGTTGGCTGAGATTAGGTAACTACAGGCTGAGCAGCTTTGGGCTCTCTATGTCTTAACAATGTGACAGATGATTTTTCTACTATCTGCACTGTCAGATGAGCTGAACTTGAGCAGATACCTAACTGAGGCAGGAGAAATAATATTAAACATTACTCATCTTCATACACTTCTTGTTTACTTTTTGCAGTATAAATTCCGATATCTATATCTATAATAGGAGTTGCTGATATAAACTTGTTTGTTAAGCATAAATCCAGCAGGAGTAGTTGAGCAAATGTCATATAAAGGCTAACCAAGAGCACAATTTACATTTCCCTTAATAGTTACTACCTCCATTTGAGAATCTCAGAAGGGAATGTATCAGAATAGTACATTTTCTAATAGGTGTTTATTATACACTCAAATCAGACAAAAGTTCAGTTTGTACCAATAAATTTCATTTTGAGTTTTCAAAAGTTTGGAAGACACAGATGTGACTAATCAACATGCTGAGTGCAGGCCAGCTAGAAACGAACCCACTCAGACATTATAGTTTCATCGTCAGCAAAAAAAAATGGCTTAGTGTTCAGATGAGTATAATCAGATTTGTTCAAGCTTGTAGTCATGCTGTTACTGCTCAGTGTAAGTATAAGCTAATTATCAGAATCAGTGCTTGGAACCAGATGTTCAGCAGGCAATAGCCGTTGCTTGTGGAGGAAAAAGAGCTGGTAATACATAAACATAAAAAAACCCTCCAGCTTTTGCACATCAACCAAAATCAAACATTATAATCATCTGCTTCAGTTTACAGCAAGAATGGGACACAGGATTGTTTAGCCTTAAATGTAATCTATCAGCTCAGCAGTTTAAAAATACTTTACTGAATTTTAAACAAATATCTGCTATTGTCTCATGGAGCCTGATGCACTTTAGAAAGTATAAAACCTCAATAGCTGAATTTTAGACGATGACCTCCCCACAGAAAAAAAGTCGATGCCTCACACATTCATCTACAACAGAAACCATGACAGTAACCTTAGCCTTGTCAATTCTGCCAGGTCCTCCTTACTAACATCATGGAATTATTCTCAATTTGCAAAAGCTGACCCAATGGCGATGGCGTGAGTGTGAGGTCAGAAGCTCATTTCAGAATCAAATGTGCTACCAAGGCTGTAAACAGCCAGGCTTAGACTGAGATTGTGGAGGAGAAGGATGGAGTCACTAGTCAGAAAAAGGAGTTTGGAGCAGGCATCAAAAATAATGACTTCAGTACTGGATGTACAGATAAGCAATCTGATCATTCAGAAACAGTGGAGGTGTTAAGAGAGATGGTGGTGAGGTAGAACTGATCAATGATGTGCCTTCGGATGAGGTCACAAGAGATGGTA